CTAGGAAAGAGCTATGCTATGCTGAGAGACAAGCGTGGACCTTAATGGGAAATATAAAATAAAACAGCATGGTGGATACTCTAGAAAAATCGATGTCAGCAAAGCAGCTAGGTCCTATATGGAGGTCAGGGCAGAAGGAGACTAGCCATTAAAGCAAGAGCCATCAAGGTAGCAGGAACCCATGCAGTGGATATTAGAACATATCCGCCGGCACAAGCAGGGTTTCCATTAGCTCCTTGCTCCTTCTGAACTTCGAGAAGTCAAGAATATGTATGTATTCTCTCTCTGCCTTCTATCCAAGAACTGAAGATAATCTGTAGCTTCTAAAGCCTCTCCCCTCCCCCATCTCCCAGGAGCCATCAAACTCCTTTCTAGACGACTGGAAGTCTATCTACCTCTTAACTGTGCACTACTGATTAATAAACAGAAAGCTAACAACTAAAGCCTTTGGAAACAGGAAAAATATAAGTTCTTCCAGATGGTAACTCAGATACAGAGAGCTACACACGTGGGGATTCACCACAGGTAACCTGCATGTCCTCATTCTGGCGACAATGACGTTTCAGCCTAGAGAAGGCACCAGTGTAATCAGAGATTAATAAAAAGCTTCCCAATTATCAGGAGAGCCCAGTGTTCTCTTTCCAATAATGGAGGTGGCCACTAGAAATGGGGTGACTGCTCTGTCTCTAAGGCGTGAAAGAATGAATTAGGAGTTCTTTTTTAAGGTCATTAGAGGGATTTGGTGGTTTGTCCCTCAATTTCTGTTTGTTGCTGTGTGTCACTGAGTTATGAGGTAAAACTGGGGAGCTGATCCAGTGGAGCAAGTGTTTGCAAGCATAACAACCTGGGTTCATATCTCCAGCAACCACATACAAAGTTATACCAGAGGGTGGAGGCAGGAGGACTGTAGGGACTGCTAACCAGCCATCCTATCCAAAATGGAAAGCTCCATGTCCAGTGAGAGGTCCTTGCCAAATGCCAGCTCAGATGCAGCTAAGATGCAGCTATCTACATACTAACCCATGAAATTTATACAACAAGCAGTTCAGGTGGACACTGCTACCCTCTGCCACAACGTAGGATGCTCAAGCCCCGAGAGGTTGACTAAATTGATCAAAGTCACACAGCATGAAAACCGCAGAGGCTTACAAGGCAAGGGGTCTCCTCTAACCCTATGCTCCAGTTAACAGGCTCTCTATAAAGGCCTACAGAAAGCGTTGATGTCCTTCCCTTAAAGGACCCTGGAGGAAGGCTGTGGGGCAGGCATCAGATCACCTCCAAGATGTCTCACCACTTTTATATGCATCTAGACATTCAGGCTAGGGCTTGCACAGGGGAGGCATTGTTCCTGGACAGCCTCTTGCTCTGGTCCATGGATACACTCTCTAGAGGTACTATGTCTCCTACCACTCTATTGAGGAACTGTAAATGCAATTGTACCCACCTTTCCTGAACAAAAGTCACATGAATTAAAAGTCTAGGACAGAACAATGAGTGGCTGACCTAAGGGGGAGGAGAATAAAATGAAAGGGGAAAGATGACTTGAGAGCATGTTTTAAAGAAGTCACCATGAAGTCAGTTCCAGCTGCACAAGCTTATAGCCCCAGGGCTCTGCAGCTGGTGCTAGCGGACTGTGAGTTTGCAGCCAATCTAGGCTGTATAGCAGGACCATGTCAACAAAAGAGTAACTGTCATCAAAATGGAGCTGTAATGAAGACAGCACCTCACACTCATCTTGATTTAATCATAAGCACCATCAAGGAGGTTCCGGAACTGACACCTCGTGACTAGTGGAAGGGATCGGAAATGACTTAGACACTTAAGAAATGCGCTCATCTGCTTTCTATTGTTGTGATAAAGACCACAGTCAAAAACAACCTGGGGAGGATAACATGTTCATCTTACAACTATCAGATCACGATCCATCACTGGGGGAAGTAACGGCAGGAATTAAGACATGGAGGCAGAGACCATAGAAGAGGACTGCATAGTGGCTTGCTTGGCAGGGCCATGTTTCATAAACCTGCCAGCATCATCTGCTCAGGCATGGCACTGACCACACTGGGCTGGGCCTTCCCATATCAGTCATTAATCACAGATATACCTGACAGACTTGCCTACAGACCAATCTTATGGGGCATTCTCTCAACTGAGGCCTCATCTTCCTAGATGACCCTAATCTGTACCAAGTTAACAAAAAACTAACCAGCATGGGGAAGGAATCTGGCAATTCCTTAAAAGTCATAGAGTGGCCATGTAACCCAGAAATTCTGCTTCTCAATATAAACCTATTAGAAACACACACACACACACAAACGATGGCACAAGAATATATGTAACAGCACCACTCATAAAAACTCCAAGGTAGAAATGACCCAGTTCCCATCAACTTACAATAAATAAAATGTGGACTGCTTTTTGGCAGTAAAAATAAATGGAGTAGTAGTCAGTGAGATTTACTGCAACCATGGTGAGCACTGGGAAGAGTATGATCTGTGAGGACCTGGGCCAAATCTACATAGTAAAGCACTCCAGGAGCAAGAAACTAATACATAGAAATGGAAGGGAGGGAGAAAGGAAGCAGACATGACAGAAACTCAGAATCACAGATTCAGAAAAAGAAAAAAAAATCTTAAAGAAGGGAAGAGAGGGAGAGAGAGAGAGAGAGAGAGAGAGAGAGAGAGAGAGAGAGAGAGAAGTTATTAGCTGACTTTGTATGTCTGGTAGATTAGGGCTCTATCACAGGAGATGAACACTATAGGCTCCAGAATTCCAAACCCAAGCCTTCTCCCCCCCCCCTCCCAGGCTATTGACTCCTCAACTCAGGGCACTCACGGAGACATAAGGCAATATTAGCTTTTAATTTTCCTCTAAACTCAGGGACTGGATTTTAAAAGGCCACAATCATGTCCCCTGGTGTCCTGCATTCCAAGCTCATGAAATAACCAAAGTCCATCAGCATCTAACCTGTATATGGTTTCCTAAGTGAATTCCCAAGTCTGACTCATATTTAATGAGGAGAAAGTTGAGCCTTCAGTTCCTAGAAGAAAGCGCAGGCATTGACTCACAGTCAAACTCGTGTGCTCACCTTGCTCACACGTAACACAGTCCTGTAGAAGTCTCCTGCTCTGACTAATGTGGGAATGTGTCCAAGGCATAACAGGGAGTTCAAGGCTAACAGCAGGCACGACTTGGAGAAATATTACATTAACTTTTAGACTACTACCAAGCCTTTCCTTCTCAGTATGCCTTAAGCATCCTTTGTGTAGAAAATCAAATTACAGCTTTCTTCAAGACTGGTGAGCCATTAGTTGATCCAGTGTGTCTGCTGTTCTGAAAACAGTTTCTTAGACAGGAACAAATGATAACTGTTATGCTGTGCACAGAGAAGCTCAGTTTAAGATTCCACACCCACACACAGAAGAGCATTTATGGAACCCGTAAATTCCACTCACAACCTTGGTGTTTACAGAACCCAGAATAACCCCTGCATGCCCTACTTCCCACTCCCTGAATCTATATTTTCCATATTAAATGTTAATTGAAAGACACCTTACATGATTCTGATACTCTTCCATAGTGCAAATATCCTTGGAGATCGAATTGACAGGGGTCCTATGACTCAAGGTCAGAGTACAGGCCTCTCCCTGGAAGAGTGACTGAGCTCAAGGAAACATAGCAAATGGCTCTAACATGCAGGGTTGGAAGTTTTCTAAGGTAATGAATGGCCCCTCTTCATGAAAATGATGCTGTTTTCTGGCTTTTCATAAGCCTCTGACACTTTGCCTCCCAACCTGTTTTCCAGGAAGTTAACAAACGCCCTTGACCACAACAGCTGGCGTTGATTACTGCGGGCAAATTAATTGTATATCTTACTAACTGGAGATAAGAACTCTTGAAAGGGAGACATGTCTCTAAAAAAAACATGTCTGCATATACAACCAATCTGGGTGTTCCATCCCAGTTCTTTGCTTATTAAAAGCCTGGCCTTTAATTGCAACAATAGTTTTGATTGGACGACTCTGCTCAGATCAACGCTCCAGTTATTTCTCCCACCTCCTGCCTGCAGAAGCCTCCTCTCAGGAAATACTCTGAGGAAAAAAAAAAGACCCACATCTCAAATACATCTTGCGCTCAAAGACGGCAGTTTCCTACAACCAATGGCTTGTGCTAAGAAATATAAATAACATAGCCTTGTTGCTTCTATTACTTCTCTCACCAAAACACTGCTCATAGACTGCTGAATTGGGACAAGAAAGCCTATTTTTAGTCCTGGCCCCTGTGATCACTGACAAAGGTCTTTCTTTAGAGCTTCTTGAAACCAGGCAGGCAAAGGCCGGCACAGCAGTAGAAAGTAATTCTAAGTTTGTGGCTCTTCTTGGCTTGTTGGGCATTGCAATGCTTCACCCCTGCTCCCCATCAGGCCGGTTCCCTAGATGACAATCCTGAGCTGGTACATTGAACATTATTTACTTATGGTCTCAGCAAGGCTCCTGAGAAGGGCTGAAACCTGACTTCTTCCTGGGAGCAGTTTGCAGGCAGTCAGCTGCAGGCAGGTAACTTGACCTGCCTCTTGATAGAACAAACACTCGCACCAGGTAAGTATATCTGATACACACAACGAAGCGCAGACAAGAGTTATCAGAACTTCCGGTTCCAAACAGGTGCTGAGATGGTCACTAACAAGAGCAGTATCCCAGCCCTGTCTCCCAAACCTCACTCCCCAAATTCTCCTGGGGAGAATCCCCCCCCCATTGTGAACCCTCTCCCTAACCAGACTCTCTGATACTCCCCCAACATGCTGAAACCTCTCCTGCTCGTAACCGCCTTCCCTGTCCCCAAACGACGCACAACAAAACTTAATAGGTTCATAAGAGACCGGTCTCTGGTGCTGCACGGACTTCCCAGGCGGAGGTGCCAGGGAGGCGGTGCTAGATCTCTCTAGACGCCTCTCGGGCTCCCCTCCCCCACGTCCGCCAGGCACCCCCGGGGTTGCTCACCTGCGTGGGGCATGGTGATGGTCTCATTGGTGTTGGAGCCCACGTTGAAGATGACCACAGCGGAGGCGTTCTGCAGGAACGCGTTCCGGATCTTATCCCTGTAGGTGCAGTTGCCCTTGGGGATGAGGGCTATCCAGTGCTTGCCGTGGGCCGGCGCGGCGAACTTGGTGTTGGGGTCGCAAGCCAGGCGGTCGTGGGCCGAGCTGGCCATGACCACCTCGCCGCGCGCGTCCTGCTTGGGCGAGTGCTCGCCGTAACGCCCGCACTCGCTCTTCTCCGTGTGCAGCTCGGCGCCGCCACCGCCGCCCGCCACGGCGGCCCCGGGCTCGGGATCCGTATAGGTGATGTTCACGAAGGCGGTGTACCATTCCTCCTTCTCCGCCACGGTGAAGTCCAGGCAGAGCAGATGCACGAAACAAAAGGAAAGCAGCCATGTTGAGAGAGCCAGACTGCGGCACGCTTGGATGAGAGACATTGTCATCTCTCTCCTCCGGGGACCCCTCCCCGCCCCCTGCGCCCTCCCCCCGGCTCCGTCCCTCCTTTCCCAGCCCGGGCCAACCCCGGGCCGCTGCTCTGGTCCTCCTGTCGCTGCGACTCACTCCCGGGCCGGCGGAGCCCCGGCTGGGACGCGCAGCCGCTGCGGAGACCGGATCCGGGGCGAGCGGGAGAAACCCGCCCTGTCCCCTCTCAGCCGACGCGCGGCGCTGGCATCGGGCTTCCCGGGTGATCGCGGCGCGGACACGGAGCGGGCGTCGCGCACTTGCGGGGGAGTCCGGCTACCAGGCGTCCTGCTCCTTTGCCCTGCGTCGCCTTCTCTCATAGAGGTGGCGGGGGTCCTCGGGTTTGGAGAGGGTGGCGGCTCTGCTTGTCGCGGCCGAGCGGGGCGGGGATGGGGTGCTGGAGATCCCCGGTGCTGGGACTATCGGTCCGGCTGCAGTCGCGGCGGTCGCTCCTGTTACGCGTGGGTTCCCTTGGGCAGTGGGCGCTGCGCTTCTGGACAGACTAGATGGCTACGCCCGGGACACTCACTTGCCGAGGGAGGGGGAGGTACGGGGCAGATGGGATGGGGGAGAGCGTGAGCAGAGGGGTACAGCGTTTTGTGTGTGTCTGTATTTGTGTGTGTGTGTGTGTGTGTGTGTGTGTGTGTGTGTGTGTGTGCGTGTGAGGAGGAGCTTAATATGATGTCAAAGCTCCTGGGCTCCCCTTGCCACGCTCACTCTGTCTCTCTTCCTGGGCGTCAGCGACCTCTGCTGGGCCTCAAATTCAGACAAGTTTGGGGCAAAAGGTAAAAAAGACCTTTCAGGCCTTTTGGGAACAATTGAGGGAGTCTTAAATACAGCAAAATGTAGATACCGCTCTGGACCAGCATCTCCACTTGCTCGAGGATGTGCAGAGTATTCTCTGTTACTCATCCCAGGGTTGGTGGGTAATGAGGCTCCTTCCCTCCAGACCTGAATATTTAGGACAATGGCTTTCAGAATCCCAGTTTTAAACCAGCTTGAATTAAGGAGAGTTTCGTATTTATTAAGTCAGGGGTGGGGTCCTCGGTGATGCGCACTTTGCTGGTCTAAGGACCAGTCTGTGGTGTGGGTAGAAATGACTTCTTTCCTTTCTCCTGGAAGTCAACACGTGGCGTTAGTTTTCTTAGAAAACGGATCTTGCCTCATACTTTTTAAGACTCTGAGACATTTTGCCACTGTCTTCACTCTAACAGCTATGACCTACCTCACAGGGTCACTGGCGGCGGAGGCGGGGCAGGGGAGGGGCGGTTATTTTGGTTACCATTTTAAGGTGCATTCTTCAGTTGTGACAGAGTTTAAAAGAAGCCAGTGGAGAACTGTTTCCCAGAGTAGTGTAGAGTAGCAGAATTCTTTAACAATTAGATTACTTCCTCACTAATGGTTTCCGTAGCTTCAGAAACCAGTAATATAAAATGTCTACTTATTTATTTATTTATTTATATATGTGTATGATAGTTCTTAATCATTTACATTTTATTTTCCACATGGTTCTCTTCCTGTGCCTCCCGATGAGACGCACTGAAATGTCCCAGCAGCTCTTGTCACAATATACACATCCCAGGTCTGTACACCAGGAAACACAAGACGGACTCTGGATATATCCTGTGGAATGAAAGATCTATGCTAACACTCTTAAGCTAATCGAAGACAGAAGTAACAGATACAACTTGAAGAGACTCAGTTGTCATGGCTAAATCCAGCAGATGAGTCTGGATGGGGTCCTGGGAAAATAAATAATTGAGAGACATTTGAATGAGGTCTGTAGACTGTATGATACATTCATGAGGTGATTTCCTGACTTGGAAGTTTACATTGCAGTTTTGTGAAAAAATATCCTTGTAAGGAGTCTCTGTGTGTCTGAAATATTTAGTAGTAACTAGGCAGTCTTTCTGCAACTTGCTATTTTATAGCTCAGAGAAAACAATTAACCAGAAAATCTTGATATCCTCTGGGCAGGCATGTAGAGTGTCTGGGATTCAGTTCATGATACTGTTGTGCACAAACAAGCTTCCAGCCTGTGTTAGCCATAGGCTTCTCTCACCCTGACACCTCACTTTTCCTGTGGGATGACTTGCACTGATGAGCCAGTGACTCCTTGAAAGAGGAAAGACAACTCTGCCGCATCCTCTTCCCTGTGCACAGCATCCCGAGTCTGTTGGTTCATCTATTATCACACAGTTTTCTAGACTCAGAACAGACAATTGGGAGCAAAGCAAGATTCTTGCATGCCTAGTGGGATGGGAGAAAAGAGAATTCGAAAGTTTCAGATCATGTCGAGTTAGTCACGCATGTTCCAAAGAGAGAAGAAGCAGTAGATTAGGAGAGCGTGATTTACTTCCCACAAGGTGACAGTTTATGCCAGAGTCAACTGCTACAAGACAGTGTCTAAATATAGTCCCCAAAGGTTGAAGGATTTGAATATTTGAGGACCAGGTGCTGGTAACAGGAGGGAGGCGACATAGGTACAATAGCTCGGGTAGGATGGTGTTTGATGTGCTCAAGAGCCACAGTGAGTTCGTGGAGAGGGATGACAGATGAAGACAGTGAACCAACGGGTTCAGAGCAATGGCGGACGATTCTACACGGACTTGCAGTTCAATCTGGGTGAGAGGAGGATTCCTGGAAGATTTCTGGACAGAAAAGTGTGGCGTTATATGAGAACATCAAAGCTTTATGCTGACAGTACTGGAGGAAGTGTAGAAGCAAGGAAGGCACTTAAGGAGCTACAATAATAATCTGGGGGAAAAGCCAAGAGAAACTCATGCTGGGAACATGACAGAACATGCTGAAGAGTGATTTGTTCTGTGCAGGGCTCTGGAGGTGGATCAGCACTGTTCTCCAACACATCCGATGAGGGTGGGAAGGAAAATTCAGAAGTCAGGAAGGAACTGGCGTAGAGAGAATCTCTTAGAAGCATCACCTGTCAATAAAAAAGCTTATGACCAATGAGCTGAGGCAGGAAATAGGAAGTGGGACACTGGCAGGAAGAGAGAGGATTCTGGGAAACGGGGAGAATGAAGAGAGACTTGAGGGAGACGCTGAGGAAGAAGCAGCCTGGGACTGAAGGAGCAGTAACTATGGATAGCATGGTAACGTGGAAGACACAGGATAGTGGGAATGGGTTAAATACGTTACAAGCTAGTTGGGGAATAAGCCACAGCTTATGGCCTAGGCATGTATTAGTAAACAATTAGTCTCAGAATCGTCATTCAAGTAGCAGGGGCCAGGAAAGGAAAAACAAAATAGATTTATTTATTTACAAACTGTAGTTGTCATTTTCTAAGATGAGCAAGATTCCAGGAGGAGCTTTAGGGTTAAGAATCAACAGATTTAGATATATTCAGCTTTAGGTGCCTAGAATTACCAAGATGGCAATTTGATGCAATTTGCCACAGTATTAGGTCACAGAAGAGTGACTGTTAGGTCAGAGCACGTGAAGAATTTTTGCTATTGTCACACTAGTAAGATTGTCAAATTGCGTTTTAAAGGTTGGCTTCACAAAGCACCAAAGTAAAGAGGGATTTTAAAGAAGTCTTTAAAATAGCAACAGTGATGTGTCCACTCCAGATGGGAGGATTCTCTACCAGTCCAAGTTCCAGTAGGACTCCTTGGGAGAAGATTTGCAGGATGTCTGGGTCTAAATCAGAAGCAAAGAGCAGCCACAAGGAGGAATGGAGGAGCCTCAGTTCTCTGAGTAGCAGCCAAATGGCCTTTCTGTAGACACTCTCCGTCTTGACATCCATATTGGGTCTCACCACCACTGTACTCAACATGCTCAAAGAGACTCTGACCTTAGACATTTTACCAAGTGACTTACGTCTTTAGAGATACAATTTATTACGGCTTTACATACATACCTTCATAGTTTAACAGACGTCTTATATGTAGAAGTTTCAATATCCAGGTTTCTTTTGCCTTACTTTTTTTTTAATTTTATATATTGATTAATCAGTCCCACTTAACAAAACTGAAGATCATTCATCAGCATATATCTTTTCATTATAATAAACTCTTAGATAGTTTGATAACCTCTGCCCGAAAAGAAAAGAAATCTTCGAAACATATTCAACAAGACTCTGAAAGGGGAAAAATCCACCAAATACCGCAGAGCATTGTTGGGCTACCTAAAGCATGAAGGCTGCCGTGACTATTTTAAAAACCAGCTTCCTGTGCATGAGTACACTATGCTATTTTGATTTGTTGTGTCCTGGCATCCATATTTACACGAAGGGACGATTCAGTGATGGATATAAATCACAATTAGAATCTCAGATGCCATGCAGCCAATTTTACTTCTGCTAGACCACAAATTTGCTATTAAAGCTGGCGGGATTACCACTTTCTGCTGAGACTTGAGCATTTCTAAACGACAGTGCATGTTGGACCCATGGAAGGGAGAGGGAGGCATTAAGATGAGGTCAGGGAAAAAAGTGGGGGTGGGGGGGTGGGGAAGATCTAAAAAAAAATCAATGCTCCCCAAACTAAAGAATGCCATTTTACTCATTTATGTGACCCACTTATAATAAGGTTGTCACCTGATAAGTTTACTATAAAAGAAAAACACTGTTAAAACAAAAAGTTATTTTCTATACCTAGCCTAACTGAACTCTATAGTTTAATAACATAGTACAGTACAGAATATGGGTGCTTCAACTCGTGACTTTATGGCTGACCCTAAGCTGAAGCTTACTGTGATCTTACTTCGGGAACACACCCTGTATGTCCCTAGCCTACAAAAGACCTGGATCAAAATACCATGCACAACCACACACAATACTGATAGTTCATAACCATAAAGCAAAACCTTGGAAAATCAGACCATCCTAAGCTGGCCTCTCAGGGGACAGTCACCTCTCTCTTTCAGGCAGCCTGCTCTTATAGACACCCAGAAGATTTTGATATGATCGTGTCTATCAAGGACTTACCACGAGATGGAATAATCCAAGTGGATGTTGAATGT